GTATGAAATATTTCGCGTTTCGGTGTGAAGCGTTCCGGAGCCCAGAGCAGTTAGTGAATAAAATGCTGCCACGCAAACATTTTCATTAGTTGATCTTATCTAATTAGAAACCCATTGGCTGCTCCTCGGTGCAACAACAAATGAGCAGTTTTTTTGCAGTGCTCAAAAAGCAAAAACATTGAAATACCCATGTAAGAAGTAACGAGCGATTTGAACTTTGCGTGACTTCCTTTGGGCACCAACTCAGCCGCTGCAAACAACATGCTCCAGCAATCATTTCAAAAACCTGCGACGCAAGTGATAAAAAAAAAACAAGAGGGGAAGAACCGAACAATGGTACTCTGATGAACATCATCAGCATGGAAAAGGAAAAGGGAATTAAATTATCGGCGACGCGCACTGGGCGGGCCCCGTGCGATCATGCGTTTTTGCAGTGTTTCGTGCTGTAATAAGATCACTCGAAATTTCGCCAGCTAGAAACCTCTTGTACATAATGGTCCTCGAATTTCGGGAAACTAATTATCTAGGCTATACCTGAACAGGGAAAATTCCCTCGAAATCCCAGGTTCCCAGCTTTCTCAGTTCCCGAGTTACACAAATCCCAGCCATAAAATTTCACGGGACCGTCGGTGGCAACCACGCATAACGGGGCGCTGAATTTAATAAGTTTAAGATGTAGAGGAGTTGGGAACATTTCCTGAAAGTTTCAGCCTCCCAGCTTCCTTGGTTCCAGGGTTAGCCATTTTCGCGCCAAAAATTTTCACGGGGCCGTACGTAGCAACCACGCATAACGGGGGGGGGGGCTGAATTTAATAAATTTAAGTTGTAGATGAGCTGGGAACATCTCCTGTAAGTTTCAGCCCCCCCCTCCCCCCCAGCTTTCTTGGTTCCCGAGCTAGCGATCTTCGCGTCAGGAACCCTCACGGGGCCGTACGCGAGAACCACGAACCCCCGGGGGCTGAATTTAAAATCTTTGAGTTCTACTTGGACTGGAAACACAATCCCAAAATTTCAGTTTTCTAGCTTTTCTGGTTCCCAAGTTAGCGATTTTCCCGCCGAAATTTTGAGGTGCTCGGACGCGGGGCCTAGACGTGCTTGAGAGTTGGTACGGTGGTCCTGGGGTGGCACTTGGCCGGGGAACCCACTCGCAAAATTTTGGCGCCGGAGTTTGCTTGGGTGCCGAGCTGAAACGCGCGGAAAGACGCGCGCGCACACGCACACACACACGCATACACACACATACACACACACTGGGGTCGTCACAATATGTGTTTTTGCATATCATGCAAAAATGCATAAAAATGAATGCAAAATCCTTGCTATTCCACGTCACGACAGTCAATAAACCTAAGCAGCAAAATCCAACGCTCTAAACTTCCACTTCGCATACACAGCGTGTTACGCACAAAACAACACAGTTGATCATGTCGTTATCAAGCGTCTTTTGTCCAGTAAGAAGTTCAATCGAAAATAGCCTTGTTCTGTTAAACTTCGGAACAACCGTATGCCGGAGACCAATGCAAATTTCAGTCAGCCAACACAGGGTATTACGCTGTAAAAAATCCGCCACCTACTGTAAAGACCATCATTTTCACAAAATTTTTTTGCAGTGCGCATGAGCCTTGTAAGACTGTTTTTTCAACGTTCGGCCGGTATTTCGCTACGCTGGTAAAACCGCGTCAAAGCACGAAGGGCAGATATTTCTCAGTTCGAATCTAGCTTGTTAGTTTAGCTGCTGAAGCGATATGTAGATGGGGAAGTAGACGTGTCCAGCTCGCGCATGCTACCGAAAGTGTTGAAATCAAGTAAATAAGCGTTACCTGATGTTGCATGAAATACATGAGTTTTAAGGAAAGTAATGAAACGCTGGGCGTAAAACGTCGGATTGTGCACCGAAATCGTATCCTAAAATTGACGAAATTAAACAAAACTCGTGCAATAATTTTGAGTTGAAAGTATCAGAGTTAGCAGGAAAAAAGCCTGTAAAGTTTCAACTTACACCGTCATGAAGTACACTTTTCCAGGTGTGTTCGAGCTTTTTTAGTAGCCTGTAGTTCTGCAAAATGTCAATTATACCAAGAAAGAGCAGCAAATCATCGCCTCGGTGATTTCGCGCGGGAAAAGAAATACTCCTGCAAAAATTCGCCATTAAGAAAGTTTATTACAAAGAACGAATGTTGCAGAATACGAATCTCGATAAAATCTTATTCATGAAGGCATACTAAACAACGGACAAGCTACAGGCTAAAATATACATACTCGTATTGTTTATAATAATCGGGTTCCAACAACTTCTCGCTTTTCACTCGCACCGTTTTGCCTTTCGCTTTCTGCAACAGTTTGTTATTTTGATGCTCAGATGCTGCAACAAAAAATAGTGGAGTTACGTAGTTCTTCTTCCTCCCTCTTTCTCCACCTCTGCTGTTCGGATATCTCCTTATCCAGCGTCCAGTAATGCTTAAAAACCTGCCATGGTTGATTTCTACCATGCCGCCTCCTAAGAGCTAGCATTTAATGTGAAACACCTTGAAAAGACAGTACAGAATGAACTGGCAGGATGTAAAAGCAAAATAAATAGCGACGCGCGCCAGAGCAGCCGGTGCGATCATGCGTTTTGTGCAATTCCGTTCAACGAACGATTGCCTGCTAATGATTATCACTGCTTTGCACTTTGTTCTGAGCGGAAATATTTAAAATTTTGTCTGCTTCTTAAGTTGCGGAATTTTCCACTAAAAATTTCACGCACACGAGGTAATAATTTCCCTATCAAAACCTTCATGGGCCTGTACGTGGTGCCCAGAGGTGCGTGAAGGCTAAGTCCAAATTTCCGAGGTCGTATGTTTGTAGAGGATATCACCTTAAAATTTCAGAATCTCAACTTCCGCAGTCCCCGAGATAATAATTTTCCTCGCCGAAACTTTTACGGAGCCGTAAGTGATACTTGGACGCGCGGGAAACTGAATTTAAAATGCAGAATTGTGCGTAGATAGAAGACATTACCATAAAATTTCAGCCTCCTGGATTTTATGGTTCCGAGATAATAATTCCCAAAATTTTCACGGGGCCGCAAGTGATAACCGGAAGCATAGGAACGCTGAATTTGAATTTGCGAGGTCGTACATGGGTAGGGGTCATTACTCCAAAATTTTAGCTTCCTGGATTCCGTGGTTCCTGAGATAATTTATCCGCTAAAACTTTCACAGGGCCGTATATGTTAACCACGGGCACGGATAGGCTGAATTTAAATTTTCTAGGTCACGAGTCGGCAAGGAACATACCCATAAAATTTCAGCTTCCTAGGTTCTCAAGGTAATATTTACCTGTCAAAACTTTGGCGGGGCAGTAGGTGATATCCGGAAGCGCGGGAACGCTGAATTTGAATAGGCAAGGTCGAGGATTTGCAGGGGGTTATTACACCAAAATTTCAACTTCGTATATTCAGTGGTTCCCGAGATAATAATTTACTCGTAAAAATTTTCGCGGG